GGCAAAAGCTCAAAGAGCTAAAGAGGATGTGGAAGAAGAGGGATATGCGAGGAAAGGAGCAAAAGACCTTGGATTTACAGAAATGCCTATTGTGGATCTGGCTGAGAATTTGCAGACACGCACAGTATATTTGAATAAAAGTGCACACAAAAACTCAAACAAAGACTCCAAGAACTGAATGTGAGTGATGAGGGGCACGTTCAAGGCCTTGCCACTGCAGACAGCTCATCTGTCGTCCTCAGAGATAAGAGGGGGATTCAGACAGGATGGGTCCAGAATGTGAGCCAGACTGTGTCTCTGCCTGCAGGCCAAGCGTTCAAGATTGAAATCTTTGAATAACTGCTTTGAATGAAATGAGAACATTAACAATATGTATTCAAGGTTTTGCTTGTAGTCAGTTTTTATAAGTTCTTGGTAGTATGGAAGTTCAGGGCTGACAATGTAATGTAAAACAGAGGAAATCAATTTTACCGTGTATGTGCATGTGCAAAAAATTATAAATAAACAAATTAAATCAACTCAAGATTTTTATGTTTTAAAATGCATATGTATTTCCAAAATAAAACAAAAGCTCAACTGACAAGTTTTGGCATCCACTTAATCCTTCTGTTGTTGTAATAAAACTAAATGCAAAATGCACTTGGACTTATTACAGTTATGTGCTTCCTGAACTGCAATGATAATGATATTATTTTAAAATATATTAATACATTTTTTTTTTAAAGATTACATTTAAACAAGCTTATTAAAATGTAGATAGAAATTTTAGATAAAGCCCAATTTTAATTTTTAAAAATTAAAAACTCTGGAATGGAAAAATACATTTCATTTAATATGTTAGGGTTATGCTATGGTGTAATTAATCAAAGTGAAAGCTTTGTGCACAAATTAAATTTCCCATGCATCGAATGATTTTCATACAGGCCTATTGTTAGTCCTAGATGTGCATAGCATTAAAAGAAAATCAACTCTTAGTGAAAGAGTATTCGTTGTATATAAATACACTACAGATTTCCACCATCTGTAATTTATTTCCTCACAAAGAGCTGTTTAACCTATTTTTTGTTTCTTGCTCAGTCTGCCTTTGTGCCTCCTCAAAACCCAAGAGAGAAAGAATACCATCAGAGCAGTTAGATTTATCTCATCATTCTAAAACAATACAGTTGCTGTTTTGAAGTCCTGATAGGGCTGGATATTTGCTGCAACTTAAACCCAAAATGTGAAAACACAGGTCATTTGTCAAAGTACAGTAACTGTGTCCAGTCCAGAATCCAAAGACTGTTCCGTTCCCACAATGCTATTTTTGGTTGCGATTTGGATGCAGACTGTCCCAGAAAGTCACGTTCCGACTGCAGTCTGTGGGGATTTTGAACTTCTCCATGTAGCTAATTACAGTCATGGCTTTGCTCTTATGCTCTGTGTCTATGAGGAACAGATGGACAATGGGTTTGACAGTCTGACTCAGTGACGCATTACTGCGCCAGCAAAAAGATCTGGTCGGGCGGCGTGTCCCAGAAGTCAGAAATTATGAGAAGTTAGTATCATTTTAAAAACAGGAGGGTGGCTGAACGGATCATAAACTGGGTTTGGCCCAAAGACAGCAACATACAATAGAACTGCATAGTGCTGACAGATGGTCTGTGAAAAAGCTGGGATGTCTGCAGTACCAGGCTGTGAAATGGCAACTGCCCAGGGCTTGTTGATGCTGTACACAGTATCTTCAGACTCTGAAGACAAAATGCTGATGTGCTGAAATGAAAGTTAAAATAGTTTTCCAACATTGTGTTTAGAGAGGAATTCAAAGTTCACCGCTTTCCTGAGTTTAGTGGAATTTTTGCCCAAAAGCAAATAGTGGCAAAATAATTATGCATGTTCACATCAGTACCACATGTCCCAGTGTATCATATTAGTGTTTATAAAGTAAAAAAACTAAAAACTTGGATTTGACTCTAAGCAGATAAATACTGCCATCTATTGGAAAAGTGTAACTATTACAGATCTTTGGAGCTTTATTGAAATGGCCAGTTCCTATCTTCTCATTCTCCATGCTGCATTATTTGTTTTAAATAAAACTTTGACATTGAGAACATGTAATTTGTAAATCTTTTGTGTCACACAAAGTCTGACAAATGTATATTTACATTAAGACTGTGTTCATGTACCATGGCTATCCTTACAAGTAGACTCTGATGAATTCAAATTTTATTTTAAAAAGCATAATTATAGCATGTCCTGTCCTCCTGTCTTGAATCTCAATTTTCTTAAAAAGCATGCTCAAAATCGAAGCAGCAGAGGCCTGGACTTTTAGTCCCTAGCATGTCCCAAAAACCCAGGATCATACGCTTCCCACAATGCAACAGGAAATTGTTTTTCATTCAACACAGGCTTGCAAAAGCTCCTCCAGAGCCACAGAAAAGCTTATTGCAACTCTTATCACAGCCCTTATGTAATGTAAAGTTGTGACTGTGATATGTAATTATAGTGTTTAAATGCTTGGATAATATTGATTATCCAAAAATCCTAATGTGTTATGTGTTTTTGTCAAATGTTTTAGTTCTTATCCTCTCTCTCACCCAGCAGACATTTTGACTTGTCATAGCAGGAAAAGCACAGGTGTTATTAATAACATTAATGATGTCTCTGTTCCATTTAAGTGTACTCGGCCATGTAAGTGAGCCAGCATACACAATACTATGGCCCTGACACTGGCACACCAAATGGAATGCAGTCATAATTAACATTATTAGTTACACCTGTGTGTTGAAGTGCCTTGAAAAAAGGTTTGTGCCGTGTCCAAAATCACTTACTTGTTCTACTCAACAGATTGCTAAACAGGATGGATGCTGTAGGCAGGGAGGTTAAAGACATGTGGTATCTGCAAGCACTGATTACACGGGGAAGAAGTATGTGTGTCTCGTCCTGGAAAGATCTTATTCTATACCTGAGCTTGCTTGTATCCTGGTCTAAGTCCCCAAGGATGGCGGTGGCCTTTTCCATGCTTAAAGTAAGCAACATTTTAATGTTGCAACTGCATGGAGCCAATTTTAACTGCAGCATATTATTGGGTCGTTCAGTAATTTTAAGCAATGTATCATTGTATGTACAATATTAATCTGTAAAGTAACTAACTATAGCTGTAAAATAAGTACATATTTCCCTCTGTAATGTGTACTAAATGTAGAATGTGGCAAAGTGGAAGTTCCCAAAGTGCAAATAGCTCAATATTTTATTGAAGGACACAACTTGAGTAAATAGTTCAGCCAACCACTGTCCACCCTGCATATTAAACACAGTTGAGATTGTGCAAACATTCAGCAGGATTTGACAGGCAGAACTATTTAGACCCTTTTCTTTTCTTTTCTTTTCTTTTCTTTTATTTGCTGTTCTTGTGTGTAACCAACTGCTGTCAGTCCACAGGCATGTCCTGTCTTCAGTCTACATTTTCTTCAGTATCGACAGCTGGCTTTGTTCAAGTGTGACAATATACACATCAAGCCTCAGCCTTATTATCACTGACCAGGTGATCATCCACTTATTTAATATAATCAGAAAAACAAGGCCAATCCTAACACAGGGCTCCATCCACCTCTGAGTCACTCAGTAAGTACACCAATTTAAGAAAGGAAATTATTTGGGGCATAGCCTAGAATAACATTTTTATTTAATTTGCCCATTGAAAGAATAATATGTTTGTTCAAGTTGTTGAGCTGTAATTCTTGGAGGGTTCACAGAGGCCACAGTTCTCCTGCCAGCTTCAGTACAGACTGGGTCTGCATTCCTCTGCAACAGCACGACAGCCACATCTCAGTCTGAGACGCAGTTTTGTCCGATTCCGACTTCCACATCCACATCTGAGCTCCTGAGGGCCAGATGTATGGAAATTACCTCTAGAAAATGTAACTGTGTACTGTGCTCACATGTTGGCATCACTGTGTATGCCCAAATTAAATAAATGAACGTTAAAAATAGTGTTCAAACAAATAAAAGTTATTTTATATGGTTGCACTTCTGGTAACTGTTCCTAAGGCATGTGGAGAAGGAGTACTGTGCCAAGCAGTGAACAAAGTCTTTCTTTGTGGTTACTGCATATGTTTTCTGTCCAGAACTCTGGGGTGCGTGCATTGTATAATTAGAAATAATCACTTAGCTGAGTTTCATGTTCATGGAGTGTGAACTTTCCACATTTGTCCTCCTATGGACCACAAACCGAGCTGGTTGCCGGTGGTCATCCTGGCACTGTCACATAGCCTCCTACCCGCTGAGGGGCCACGCTGTTGGTAAAAACAGACTTCAGGTACAGAAACACAGCTTGAGGAAGACAATAAACATAGCCTCTCACCCAATCAGTTCTGCAAACCCACAAACAGAAGCCAAGATGAATAAGATGGTTTAAAAGAAAGCAACAACATATGTGTTCAACGGAGAGAAAGTGTTTCACATGACATGCTGCTTCCAAGGCTAAACAGACTGTAAATGGCAGTGACAGATAATGACTATGTGTACTGCACATGATTCCATGGTTTGCTGGGTGCAGCTGAACTATATAACCATTCAAATTTAAAAGAAGTATGACTGGATTTTGAGTTGCATTAAAAACAGCAGTGGGGTTTAAGTGTTTTTTTAAGGATAAGGGCACATGAAGTTAGTCCTGTATGAAGTACTCAAGTGATAAACAATGAATAGAAACACATAAAAATGCTGCTGCTAGGATGAGGACGAGAAGTGTCATTAACATACCTGTAAGTAGTGAGAGCAGGAGGATTTAAAAAAGAGTGCATCTGTGAACTTGATGGCAACCAGCTGAAAGCATTAAAAGAGAGATGGCTTTCGAGACGCAGAGAAAGAGAGAGAGAGATCAGATGTGGATGGGAGGGGGAGAAAATACACAGTCCTGTGGACAGATGGAGTAAGAGAACACAAGTGATGAAGAAGGTCCACAGTCCGATGTTATGCGAGGCTGCAGAAGCATAGTAAAGAGAAGGGAGGAAATGCAACAGAAGGGAACCCTGGGTGCTAACAGGCAGAGAAGTACACAGTAGTAGGAGTTCCATGTGACATTGTAAGAGTGATCAGCCCGCTATGCTGCCCTGCAGATTGGTCATTGTTGGTCTTTTGTACTGCTGCATCAAACCAGGTGTCGCACGACATGGGACTAAAGGTAAGACTTGAACTGAAGCTCAACACTTTAATGCAGAATGGCAAACAGTTAAGAGGAATGCATTTTTATAAATACAAAACAAAGCAAAAAGACTATTTAGCAGCAGTGTTAATATTATTTGATCAGACGACATGTAAGAATGTGATAATGGATTAATTCCAATAGTGGGATAACTGTTTTTGATTTTGTGCATGTGAGTCACAGACAATAATAGAAATTTATGACAGCTTATAATTTAGTCAATTTATTTATTCTGTGTTCAAAAATTGTTTCAGTAAATAAATTATTCTTGGCTCTAGACTGAATGTTCCTTGTTCGTTGTTTTAGCTGTACTGTTTTATTAAACCAGAAAAACAGAGACCCACATCTTTTTATTTTCTTTCCAAACTCTGAAGTTTTTACTGAAAACAAATTAACAAAATGTTATGCAAGCATAGTTTTATAACAGGAATTTGCTCATGATGTGTATTGGACATGAGAACATATTGCACACATTTTACTGCAATGCTCCTCCATGCATGAAAAACTGCTCTGTCATCTTCCTTTTTAAACAACACAAGAGCACCTTTAGATTTAATAGACTATTAGAATATTATATAGTACAGAATGAAAAATAAAATGCAAAATAAGTACAATTTTATACACATTTGTAGGTTAAATACTGTGGCTTTCAAGTTACAGCTCATTTTTATATTATGCACACTTGTATTCTCATCTAGCTACAGATGTCATCTGCACCTGTTTCTAATAGGAAAACAATGAGAGGGTCCAAAAATGATCTGAGAGAGGAAACTCATATTACTCAAGTGAATGAAAAGCATACTGCTGAGATATTCAGACCAGCTCTGGTCAGGGAATTCCTTTTGTCTAATGAGGTGGGGTCTTTTGTGATTTGATTATGCATTCCCGGTTCTCTCACTGATAAAACATTACAGACAGGAACACAAATGTACTGATGCCTGCAGAGCAACAAATCTGGTGGCTGGAGTTTCTAGTTTTGCCTATGGACACTTCTGTATTGACAGGAAGTATGAGTCAAAGACTTTAAGACTGAAATCCAAACAGCAGTAAAAAGCACTTCATTATAAAAATCTGGAGTCACCAGAAGCACATATTTGACCTCTGTCATCGAGTTCAGCTGGAAAACATACGAGAGATATCTACAGTTTACTAATCTGCATGATTTTTGGGCAGGTTTGTTGCTCCCAAATGTAAACACACTGTCGTGCATCTCAATGAACACATTGGACAATTGGGTTCTTTGCATGGTAAGCAAAGCAATGAAATGGTTATATTGGTGAAATAAGCAGCCAATGTCATCTGTATGTTTGTATTTGGAGGACTCACCTAGAAGATTCAAATGATTATTATATATTATTATACTACTCATTGAGCTTAGATTAATGGAGGTTATTATTTAAACATTATGACTAACTTGTGTGGATTATTTGATCCTGCAGAAATCTTTGAAATTTGTTTGTGTTTTGTTTGTTTGTTTGTATGCCTGACATAAACGAGTAGATGACAAGGAGTGAAAGAATTGGCAGCTGGGTGTTTGACTCTGGCTCAGACATTTAATGAATTTCTTAACTGTGTTTTCAAACTTTTCTCTCGCTTTACACTCTATGAGCTGGTCACAACATCTTTACTCCAGACTAGACTCCAGACAAAACTGTTCAAGTTTAATGGTTTCGATTTTGATTTGCTGAAAACATCAAACAACACAGTCCTGTTCAGTCACTAAATATATCAGTCACTCTACCACAGCCTCCAACTCTGCATGACTGTCTGTCTGCATTTATGTCTGCATGATTTCCTCTTTTCTTCATCTTTTCTCTTCCATCTGTTCTCCTTTTCATCTACCCAACATCATTACCTGCAGTTTATCCTTCATACCATATGAAATGTAAACTGCCTGAGTTCCAGATTTTACATGCATTAATGAAACCTGCCAGCAAAGAATGCCAGAGATACTGGATAGTAAATGAAAACAGTGGTCTGAATTTCCTTCTTTCTGTCCCCTTTTTCTGTATGGCGAAAACGTCCAGACTGGAATATCTTAACAACTTTTGAATGCATTGTCCTTACAATTTATATAGACATTCAGGCTCGCCAGAGGATTGATCCCTCTGACTTTGGTGATCCCCTCACTTTTCCTCTAGCACCACCAGCAGGTCAAAGCTTTCACTTATCTAGTGAAATTGTATTTGTTAAACATCAACATGTTAGCATTTAGCTCAAAACACCATTGTACAACCTCACAAACCACAGCTGTATTATTGTTATTAATCTTCTTTGCCATGAATTTTTGTGTTTCTGTAGCCTACAATTATTAGTCTTTTAAAGATGCTAAACAAAGTTTTCACTAGTTATGAAACAGTCTCAGTTTAATACTGATGCCTCTATATGACCTATAAACAACAAGACGATCAGCGAGAAGACTGGCTATTTCTATACAGAATCAACACAAAATGAAAGTTCCTCGTGGCTGCTTTTCACAATGTGACTGCATTGTATTCAAGGACTGTTTCCTTCCTCGTGCTCTTAAGTAAGGGTTCAGGTTTTCAACTCTGACTTTCCTAAATCATGGGTCTAAGGAATGCTGTGAAAATGAGGCTCAAATGCTAAGCCAGTCATCTGGAGCATGTTGTATAACCCGTATGTTACTCCGCCTTTGATTCTTCTGCTGCCTTTGAAGATCGAGGTCACGTCTCATCGCCTGCAGATAGAAGTCATCTGTAAGGTCAGAGATCGCAGGGTATACCATAGATCAACTGCAGTATGTTGAGGTGTGAGCCTGGCTCTCACATGTGCCAGAACAGCAGCACCCCAGTAAAGCCTGTATTTCATGGGACCTAACAGTTCAGAGATTGTTATTATTATTGAAACCTTTTGGGTCCGGGGGAGTAAATCACAGGATAAAAACCTGATAAACCTGAAAGGAATGGTTTGCTGAGCAAACTGTCCTTGCTCTTCTACCACACCTCATTCTTACTGTCTGTCTGTCTTTACCCACCAGCCCTATTCCCAGCTGCAAGTAGAATAAAACGAGGGGTGGCAAATTTGGTGAACCCCACCTTCCACAAATCCTTTGATGATGTTCATCTGTTATTTGAGGTGAGACAAATATGGCCATCAATAAGTGTTCGAAGTGTAAAACCAGCAAATACACCTCAACTCTGATAATGTCTTCCTCTTTACATCTAATAGATCCTGCTGGCTGGCATACACTTTGAGGGCAGTGGAGAGATTTCAGTCCAAGATGCTGAGCTGGCTTCCCTCCGCAAGACAAAAAACCTGGAAGTCATCTGTGAGGAGATCATTCCCAGGAAGCTAACAGACATATTTAGGCTCATCTCTGACCTTTCAGATCATATTGGTCACCTTCATCAGGACGATTTTGAACGCATCCTGTTGACCTTGGTATACACTACCCAGCAGATGGTCAATTCAACTACTGAACACCAACGGTCTGTGTGGGAAGAGTCTTTTGTTAGTTTGTACAAAGCCATCAAGCAGGATCTGACAGGGACAACTTAAACCGATATTGGTGTTGATACACAGTGGCCCCATGTTTACTATGCGCACAAGAAAAACCTTTTTTGAAAAATATCCTTTGAGTTCAGTGGCTAGTCCTGATTTGTGCATTGAGGAAGGTTTTGTACGCTGGCATATATTGATATGAGAAGCCTGAGAGAAAAGTCCTGACACAAATAGGTAAAGTGCATGACCTGATAATGACACAACTATTCAAATATTGACTGTCATAGCAAAGTTCACTATCATCTAGTTGTGATCACATTAAATCAAAGAAAACAAATAAAACAATATGCTTTAAACCAAAAAAATCATTGTTTATATTCAACAGTGTATGCTCTGTGAAAATGTCTGTGAAACTGTACAGAAAACAAGTCTCCAAGTTGAGATATACATATATATCTCTCTCTCTTCACCAGTTTTATATCATACAAAATATCTACTAAAACATCTGTAGAAAGATACCTAACTACCCCCCTAAAGGATATCCATATATTAATCCTATGCAAGATATCATTTGCCAATGTCAGTTTATGTGAAATACTTTGCACCATGTTGTTACAGTACATTGTCTTCAAAAGTACAAGAGGTCCGAAATGAGCTGCCTCAGATGGTATAGTTGCTGGAAAATCCCCAAAATGGCATGCTGATGTGAGCAAACAGCTCACAGAGCGACTCCAATAATGATCTGTGAAGGCTCTGGATGTCCCAGTGGCTTCTTAGGCTCCAGGGCATTACTATCTGCTGCGCATCCTCTCAGGGAGCTGGGCACACTAGGACCAGGAGGGCAGAAAGGAATGTACCGGAGCCAGGAGGAAGAAGACAAGTAAGAGCTGATACCAAAGGGAAGGTTGTACACTTCTCCGCTCTCGAGTGTGTTGCTGGAGTCATCCTCGTGAGCCTTGTTCCAGGCCAGGATGCCTCGTTCATGCTTTGATCCTGTTGGACACATGATAAATGTCTTTAACCATACAGCCTACTGAATAGCTGAATTTTAAATTACTTAGCAATGAAGGAAGTTGCTACAGTATAACTTGCTATCGGTGCCACCAGGCACATACTTATGTACATACAAGGCAAAAAAAAAACAGTTGCTTTCACGTCACAAGTATATAAAATATTTGGCAACACTTTTTTTCTATTTTCTAGTCATGGCGACTTTAGTGTTTAAAGTAATTACATGCCTATTTGCACATGCATATCTATGGACTGCATACCTTACACTGTGTCTGATACTTAGCACGTCACTTACAGTCAATTGATGGAAGAGAAGAATCAGCTTTGGAATAAATTAGGTTTAACCCTTTATTATTTTATCCTATATATTGACTCTTCTTCCCGCTAGGAGATTACGTATCACATACTTTTACAATCTATTTTGCTGTTAATAGGCTAAAAGTATGACGAGTTAATGGACTAGTGTGTAGGATTCAATTCGGGGCTTGACCCTCCTCTTCCAAGCATGTAGGATAAACTACGGTGGCCACAAAACATGCGAAAAGACCCCATCTAGTGTTTGGTTAATCCTATCTAGGGTACTGTAGAAACATAAGGATTTTGATTACTTAAACAATTTAGACATAGTATTACTAATCAAATAACTAATAATATAATTAAAAAATACCTGGAATTGTGTTGTCCAGTATGAAGCCAAAGAAACCTCCTACAAACATACTGGTTGTCAGAAGGACCTGTAGCACCTGGTCGACTTCAACCACACCTGAATACAACACAATAAAATTAGTTAAACCTCTGTTAACAATCAAGTAAAAGTATGAAGCTTTTTATGAAAAACAGTGAAATTTTATCGATGCACCTGTAGCAATAGCTGCAGGGTTCTTTAAGATCCAGTTAGGGATGACCAGACCAGAGAACATGGAGAAGCCAAAAACGAAGAGGTTTCGAGACGAATTCATATCTGCATACTGAAAATGTGGAGAAAACAGAAAAAAAGGAAATGTTAAATGCAATATTTAGGTCAATGTAAAAAAAAAAAATGCAAGCAAAAAATCGTTACTGTTTTAGAGTGTTTACCTGCAGATTAGAAACTCCTGCTGCAGAGATAACGCCAAACATAACCATGAACATCCCTCCTATCACGGGTGATGGGATAGTGGTAAATATAGCACCCACTTTACCAAACACACCCATGACAACCATCAAGACTCCACTGGCTACTATTACCATGCGACTGCCAACCTGCAAAAAGAAAAGAGAGAAAAAGAAAAGGCTTCTCTTGAAACTATACCCCAAAAAAGTTTATGCTTATCTACAAATGTGTAAGTCTGAGTAAATAACCAAATAATCTTCTTCTCAGCCTATACATACAGGCTCGTCGTACCTTTGTAATACCGAGGGCTCCGACATTCTCGCTGTATGAAGTGGTACCATTTCCTGTACCCCAGGCTCCAGCCAGCAAGCAGCCCAGTCCCTCAATGCCGATACCCCTGTTTATGGCATGTTTAGGGGGAGGTGGAGCCCCAGATAGCCTGGCACAAGCGTGGTAGTCCCCTACAGACTCTATCATGGAGGAAATCACACCAGCCAAGATGCCAACCACACCTGCCAGGCTCACAGTCGGCATCCCCCACTGACCTAAATTTGGATTAAAACATATTGGAACAGAGAATGACACAGAAGCCTGCATTATAGTTTTCTATTAACTTTTTTATTATTAAAAAGTCAGTTCAGATGATAGTTAGCAGCCTGTTACCTGGGTATGGAAAAGTGATCCAGGGAGCTTTGCTTATAACATTTCCCTTTAGATCCGTGCGGGCCATGTAACCATACTTTTCTGGTTCAGCAGGAAGTACATTGAAGGTCGTCAAAATGTAGCAGATTATCCAAGACAAAGTGATTCCAAGCAGAACCTGAGGATACATAGACAAAGAATCACCTTTTTGTTCTTGTAAAGTGGTCTAAAGATAAAATGGATAATTCATTTCATAAGTCTTGATCCAAAAGGCAATTACTGGCAAACAAGACAATTTGTTTGGTACATACAGGGAGAATCTGAAAGACGTAGACACGGGAGATGTGCAGTTTTTTATCCTTGTTGTACATAGGAAAGGGCACAGGTATATGACGGAGGTACTGTGAGAACAGGGTGATTAGTGCTGTGGTCCTATATGAGACAGGGACAAAGACATTCATTCACAATATAAAAAAAATACTGTATTACATTGTAGCTAAGTCCACTCTAACCAACACAAAACTAAGCAGAGCAGCTATAAGCAGGTTCTTTGGCAAGGAACTTTTAATAGGCTTTCCTACCCTGCAGAGAGATTAGGACTTTTACACAGATTTCAAGTCTGTTATTATTTTTTAAAACTTGGCTGTACTCTAGGCAGGGAATCAAGCTGATTTAGCATGACCTATAAGACAAGTGTGTTTGAAACTGGCACAAACTCCTTTTTACAAAGATATCAGAAGAGTTTGTTTGATTGCTATCTAAAAGTGATTGCATTACATGCAACATGATAAGAAATTTAGACAAAAATATGTTATATTGCAATGTAAAATACAATATATTGGTAGGTTTGAAATAGACTACTAATTTTTGCATTTGCATTTTTTTTTTACCTTTGTAACAGAATGATCCCAAACCATAAAAATCATGCTTGGGAATTTTACTCACATGGCAGATATGCCCCAGTGGTTGCCAGCATTGGCACCAGCTGAGTCAAACAGGGACAGTCCAATGAGAGAGATGGTAGGAGCGATGGTGAGAGGTCCAATGAAGCGCATGAAGAGGCCGATGAGGCCAGAGAAACCAACAAACACCTGGAATAGTGAGCCCACCATAATGGATCCCTGCAGCTGAAAACAGACACAAGTACAATAACATGTAGCATCACTCTTATTTCAAAGGTATTTACCAGAAATTAACATAAGTTAGAGAATACTGTAACATTTTTATTACTATAGAAAAATTATACATTGGTTTAATTCATATCAGTGATACTGTTATTTCCTATAAATCCTTACAGTTGCCACTGTTGCTACTGGAGCAGGGCCGAGAGGTAGTAAAGTTACGCTGATGTCTCAAAATGAAATATGGTATATTTAGTTAGCAATTTCACTCTTATTGTTGGAGATGTTTTGACTACCTGTGAGCTACACCCATATCTGACAGAGAAAAAATCAATTTCTTGTTCAGACTGTTTTGTCAACGATTACCACAATACCTACTATCCATAACAAATGCTGTATTTTAACCTCCACACAAGAAAATCAATCGTGGCTCTGCATTGCCAATGTTCTATCACACAGGACCAAAAGTTCAAGCTAGCATGAAACATGTACACATAATATGACCATTACACAGCAATCGAACAATGGCTGCTTTTGTGCAGCCCAGGGGTCTGTTGAAACAATGAGCATTTGTCCCAGCTCAGGCACCTAATTTGATACGCTCATAATTTTCTATGGGACAGTCCCTAAAAAGTATTTTCACACACAATACATAATACTCTCACGTGCCTTGAAGTAGTAATATTCAGTTTATTCCACTTGGGAGCAGAACTCAACAACAAGTTGAACTCACCTTTAAAATGTTATATTCACTGAGCTCTTAGGTCTTCACCAATTCCTGATAAATATATATATATATAGCTATAGTATATATAGTAAGCTCCACTATGTTCACCGGCTAGTTGCTAACTAAGAAAACAAAGTTGACAAGAGCGGTTTAGACAGGGCCTTTCGTGGCTACTGTAGTTTCTCCTACTCACAAGCTGTGATCAGTTACTTCACCAGTAGATGGCACTAAATCCTACACACTGGTCCTTTAAGTTGTGATTAGATCAGATGGTTTACTTACTGCTCTCATTCGACTCTGCCACACTTCTACAAATTCTGGGGAAGAGGTGTTGACTAGGCTGGCATTTTGGGTCCAAGCAGGACATGTCCACTCTGGCATGGACAGCATTGCCATTGAGGGTGCCAATAATGTGAATGTACCACCCTGGAGAATGGGCAGTCTGGAAATAAAGAACAATTAAGAGAATGGAGTCATACAGATATGACACCAGGATGATTTCTAGACAGGTCATACATATTCAGATATCATTGTGTCAGATGTGCAAGGTAACTTGAAGTAGGTGATTCAACCTCCTTCATACTTAACAAAAACAACTAAAAGGTTATATTAGCTTGATGTGCAATTCCTCTCAAGTCCACCGTCTCTATCTGCATCCACAGTCCCTGTTTCTTTCACTCACATATGATTCTGTAAAATGGTTGATTTAAATCATGTGAAGGTGGAGAGAGTCACTCTCTAATCAGGCCAACTGCTGTTCCAAAGATTAACTGAGTTAAAGTCATCTGCTATGTAATAATCCCCATTTTGCTGCTCACTTCCCCATCAACAATTCACATCAGATTGTAACAGACGCAGAACTTTTCCAGTGCAACAGTCTCAGAGTCAGAAGACAAGTATATTTGTGGAAAAATTAAGGGAATAGAGAAGACATATAGCAAGCAAATATCTTTTGATGGGAGAAATAATTAGTTTTGTTTTCTTTTGGCTTTTCTGGAACAGTGTGCCATTAAACCTACCAATTGTTTTCCTTACAGCTGGTATTTGGCGAGAGACAAGAAAGCATCAGTGGTGCTAAGCCAGGGGAATGTGGATTTAGCAAGAACTAAATTCCAAACATAATAAGATGGAAATTCCTTCCCTAATCCTACTGTGACACCAATAGTCAACTGGACTGAAGCTGTGCAAGCATAGTACAAGTTCAGAGCAACAAAACATAGTTCAAGTTTGTCGTTCTGCAAAACAAAATCTGCCATTACATCATTACAAGTCATCTGTGTGTATTTCACTGCACAAAAGGATACTTCACATTGAGTAGCCTAAACACTATGAGAGGAGTCTCTGTTTTGGCATCAGTTGTTCTTTTATTGCCATTCTATCTGCTTTTTATGAGATGATATATCTGATCTATATGAGATCGCCTAATTAAAGTGTCTTATTTGTTTATGTGCTATCTTATTCACTTCATTTCACCAGCTTTATATGAGCATTCTTTTATGAACATTTTACTTATTTATACATAATATAGAAATATATCTTTTATTTCCCACTTGCATTTCAAACTATTTATGTATGGATTCAGTGCTGTCTTATTATATGTATGCTCATGTTTATAATTTTTGTGATGTAATATGGATGGTGGCTTACAGTGTGTTTGGGATTTTAAATTTTTTGTTCTGTATATCTTTTGATATGTGAAGCTCTTTGGGTTTAAGCATTAAAGTGCTTTATTAAAAAAGGAATTATTATTAATTGTATTTGATATGTAAGATAAAATACATTTGATCATGCTGAATCCTGTACAATATACCCTTTGACTTTCCTAAAATTAGAAGATAAAGGCATACAAGATGCTGACTAAGGGGGAGGTCCAAACTAAGGTATTTCAATATGTAATTAAACTCTTTTACCTATTTTTTTCTCATCACAGCTAAACATACCTGAACATTCAAAAGCATCTTAATATAAAAGCTCTACTTTCCCTCCGATAATCCCTTAAATAGAAGCCATGTCCACTAACACCGCAGAATATTCTATTGTTCGTGGTTAAGACTGACTCACAGTTCAAAAGAGGTTAAGAAGGAAAGCTGAGAGGATGTTTTGTTCTGCTTGCTTAATCAGAAGGAGCAATATGGTTAATTCCACTTTAATGAACCCTGCTGTACTGCTGGATTTCTTATCTTATGTTCTTATATTATCCAGTAAATGAATGTAAATTATCCAGTGATTAGAAATAGAAATGTATTGTCTACAACCCTTAAACTAAACATTTACTGTATCATCCCAGCATCCCACCTACATCTTCCTGGCTGCCCATGAACTGCGTCATCTTTACTTCCTTACCTAATGCCGAAGGTAACTTGCAACAGAGTGCAAATACCAGAGACAAAGAAGATGGTACTGATGAGGTGGCTTTGTGTGATGCCGTCATGCTGCAGACACAACCCCTGAGACAAGATTAACGGGATGGCGATGATACCTCCAAATGCAGTCAAACAGTGCTGAGAGAACAAAGAAATATATCGAGAGATACATTTAGTTTATGTTTGATGTACATAAAAGTTAACCACATATTTCTATGTGCTGTGGGGGAATAATCTGCCTCAGGTTAGAGGCTAAAACATCATCAAAACATTAACTGATGCACTACCTATAAGTCTGTGGACTATATACAGTACTTGGAATTATGGTGCTGTAAAAATTGTAATGGCAATGGTGTATAGCATAAAAGATAACATATAACTAAGGACTTCCAAGAAAAGTCACAACTTTGACAGTTTGATTCCATTCCAGTTTTTAGGAAAAAAATATTCTAAATAAAAAAAATAAACCCTCTCACTGACTCTCCCACGTCGACTGTATCTGAGGAAAATTCCACAATCAGGCCTGCGTAAATAAAACCAAGTCTAACCAACCGTGAAGGAAGCGTCAAACAGAACCTCTCATGTGACACGTGTGCTCATGTTTACATTGTTAGATAACATCAGAAACTGCTCAGGCTCTTAATCAGGAAATGAATAGAGACTCAATGTCAAACATGACCTTAAAATCCCTTTGCTGACGTACCTGGATGCCTAGCAGGATGCACAGGTACCAGGGAGGTACATCCGTTACACAATATGCTAGCTTGTTGCTTTCTCCCTCTGTAGACGTGTCCATTTGTCCATGTTGTTTGTCAGGCAGATCACAAAAGTGTCTTTCAATCTTCAATTAGTCAGACAGAGAGGCAGACAGGTCAGTTAAAGATACTTATGAAATGATGGTATCTTTGCATTGTGGCAATCTGTCATTTTGTTATTTAAGTCAAATCTGAAAACAACAATAACAACAGAATGCTTAAACATCGCTTCCAGACATGTAGATAGATAGATAGATAGATAGATAGATAGATAGATAGATAGATAGATAGATAGATAGATAGATAGATACATAGATACATACTTCAT